CGCCCTCGCCGTCCGTCCGTGCGACGCCGTCCGTTGTAGCCCTCGCCGTCTGTGTAACGCGCGCCCTCGCGTCGTTTCTCTCGCTGTGACCTCGCTGCCGCAGCTGAGTCGGCGGCGCTGGGCCTAGGCCGCGGAGGGAGCTGTCCAGGTCGTCGTCCAGAGGAGGTCAGTCGCTGGGGGCGCGGGCTGCGGTGAGATGTCCACCCCCGAGCCGCGCGGGCCCAGACCATGGCCCCAACCCACCTCAATTAGACCCGGCCTCCTCCCCTTCTCGGCCCTGACCTTGATCCCCGCACAAGTTCAGGCTACGACGTCCCTTGCTCCGCCCCGCCGCCAGTGCTAACTGCAGCCGCCTTTGCAGAGCGACTCCCATTCCAAAATTCGATTCTCCCCATCACGCCCGCAAGTACCAGGCTGAGCCCCTGACCCGCTAGTCGCTCGTTGGCCTTGCCACGAGCGACCCGAGACAAGCCATCTCGGACAGGCCGAGCCGGGGCGGCGTTGGTCCCGCGTCCCGGCTCTCCCGCCCCGCGCCTGGCATGTGCTTCGCTCGTTCATGATGGGGGGTTGCTGCTCGCGGATCGCCTTGAGTCCTGGTACCAGGGTCGGCTGGTGCCTCGCAGAGGGACGGTGTTTGTGGTGCGTGTTGCGGGTGTGGCTCCGATGGTCCAGTCTCTGCCCGTCCCGCCACACTGGCCCCGTCCCCGCCCCCCGGCGCCCCGCTCCGCCGCCCCGCTCCGCCCCCGCCCCTCGCCCCCGCCAACCCGTACTTCGCCCCGCCATGAACCCCTCGGCAACCTCTTCTGCACGGACGTGGACGAGCCGCCCGCCCCAGCCCTGGCCCGGTCCTCGGAGCCGGTGCAGGCGGACGAGCCCCAGAGCCCGAGGGATCATGGGACAGTCTCGGCTCGGGGCACCCAGGTGTGCGGGGCAGGTGGGGGCAGGTGGGGGCGGGGCGGCACCTGCAAGCGTCTGGGGGGGCAGAGACACACGCTTTATCCTGGGCCTCAGTGTCCTCAGCCAGGGCAGGGGACGGATGGCACAGACGTGACGTCACAGGGTGGCCGTGAAAACAGCGTGTGGCCCCGTGTGGCCGCCGGGCGCAGTCGGTCGGGCGTGTTAACGGTGACAGGCGTAGATTCGGCTTAGCCTGCGCGGGGCTGTCTGCGCCCGCCTGTGAGTGCAAAGGCGGCGGGCCTTCCTCCGGCCGCCCCGCCCGAGCCTGGGTGTCAGCGCCCCACCTGCCCAGCGGTCCTCGGCAGCCCGCCCCGCCAGCCACCACTCCTGGCTCTCCACGCACGTGAACCTGTGACCACAGCCCTCCGAGGAGCGCAGGCAACGCAATTCTGCCCTGTGCCAGGGGCCGGGATACCTCGGCTAAGGCCTTTTCCTATCCCAGACTCAGATTTCTCTCTTAGAAGTGGGGATGGCCCGCAGAGCTGCTGGGCAGCCCGAGCGTCTGGGCAGAGGCCGCAGCGAGCGCAGGGAGGGGGATGGGGTGGTCGCTGATCTCTGCTTAGACGCTTTGGGGGTAATTATGAACCTCCTCTCTCTCAAGGTGGGCGCCCGCCACCCCCAGGGTCAGTGGCGACAGGGCAGCATGCGGTAAGAGCCCTGTACTCCAGGTTGGGGGCCCTCAGCCCTTTCCTTGGGACTCAGACTTTGGGGCTGAAGAGATCTGGAACCAAGCTATGCCTCCAAGGTGCTCCTAGCTAGTGGGCACGACAGAGCCTAACAGAGCCACTTTACGCTGTGTCGTTAGGGACAGGGAGTAGGAATCATCTCCCTGGGAGAGCTGGGAAGGCTTCTTGAAAGAAGGGACATTGCAGCTGGGGCTTTGAAGGGTGCATAGGAGTTTGTTAACAAGGCCCTACCCATGAATGGCCAGATTTGCTCATCTCTGCCCACACTTGCTGTGCCTCTGTTTAACGGTGGGCAAATTCACATCCGCCCCATCACAGCACCCATCCTATTTCCTGACCCCCAGGACCTATGAGCGAGAAGCCCTGAAGAAAAAGTTTACACGAGCCCGAGAAGTGGAGTCCTCCGACGAAGATGGCTACGACTGGGGCCCGGCCACTGACCTGTGACCCCCGCCCCAGGCCGCCCGCTGGCCCGCCCTCCCCCGTCCTCCCTGGAGCCGGGACTTGGCTGCCCGTACAGAACCCACAACCTGCCTCCCTCCACCTGGTCGTTAATAAATAAGAGTATTTTCGCATCACAGGCTTCTAGCGGCTTCCAGGCAGGGACCAGAGGGCCGAGCCTCTGACCCTCTCTCAGCCCCACAGACCGATGTGAGGCTTGGCACGTTCGATAAGCTTTTACTTTGTACATCAGGAAATACATGAGGGCCAAGAATCCGCTGGGGCCGGCGGCCGAGGCGGGACTCCGGCGAAGGCACGGTGGTGGGCGCGGGGCGCCGGTCACAGGTACACGGGCTGCTCCTGGCCCGTGAGCAGGCGGTAGGGGCGGGCGCCGGTCACAGGTACACGCTGCTCTGGCCTGAGCAGCGTAGGGGCGCACCAGAACGGCCTCCTGCCCGTGAGCAGGCCGGTAGTGCGCCGCCATGCTTGATGTGACCTGGGGCCGGCACAGGGGGAGGCTCAGGCTGGCTGGGTCCCAGGAGGCCCCGACGATCACCACGCCGCCGCCCCCATCGCGTAGCCGCAGCACTCCGATGCGCGCGTGCGGCGTGGCCACCACGCTCTGCCCGTTGATCTCGATGATGCGGTGACCCACGCGGACGCCCCCGCGCTCGGCGATGCCGCCGCGGAGGAGGCTCCAGATCTGGGGGCAGGCGGGAGGTGCTCAGGGCCGCGGGGGGCTCCTGGGCACCCCCCGCACCCGGTCCCCACGATCCCGTCACGCAGAAGCCAGCGCCGCGCAGCGTGGCCGCGACGATGGCGGTGGTGACGGGCGGGCAGTGGACGATGCTGAGTGTCACCGACGTCTGGGACTTCACTCCGTGACACGTCACTGGAGGCGGGCCAAGCACCACCTGGCAGCGCCGCCCCTCTGCACCCCGCCCCGCCCCCATGACAGAGACCTGGATCCAGGTCTGGATCCCGGGAGACCCCCCCCCCAGATGTGGTTAGTGACACTGGAGCCAGGAGGGCTCGGGGTCAGAGTGTGTGACCTCTAACCCCCTCGGGCCTGTCTCTAGGTTGAAAATGAGCCGACCGGGGCTGTGTCAGCCCCGCCCCTCTGACCAGGGCAGGTCCCTCCCTGTCTCCTGGCCTCAGTTTCCCCATCTGGGCAACAAGGGTTAAAAACATGTCAGCTGCCCTTTGGCAAAGAGGAAAGTCTCCTGGCCCCGGAGCCCGGCACCCGCATCCCAAGCCTGGCTCTGGCACCAGAGAGGTGCCCTGGGTAAGTGACATCCCCTCTCCAGGCCTCAGTTTCCCCGAGGACACAGCAGCGGGCAGGACTTAACGTTCTCCGCTGCCCCTCTGGACCGGGCCAGAGAGACTGGCTGGGAAGAGACCTCTCCTCTCCCGGCCTCGGTTCCCCTTCCCGGCTCGAGGGCCCGGCCACCCGGAAGCACTCACGCGGACGGCGGCCTGGCAGGCGGCCAGGGGCAGCCCCACCAGGCTGGCCCCGTTGATGGCGGTGACGCGGTCCCCGATGCTGAGGGCACCCGAGCGCTCGGCGGGGCCGCCGTGCAGCAGGTTGGCAACCACGGCCGTGGGCAGCAGAGACCCCCAGCCTGACTCCACCAGGGCCACGCCCAGGCCCTCACCGCGGCGCTTCTCGATGCGCACCTGGGGGGGGGCGGGACAGGGCTCAGAGGGTGCCTGTCTCGGGGTGGGCAGCAGCGGGAGGGGGGGAGACCTCGCGCTCACCTCCCTGCAGTTGTCGCTGTTGCAGAAGTGGTCGAGGTCCCCGTTGTGCGGGTGGCCGGAGCCCGCGGCCCCCGGGCTGGAGCGGGCGCCCAGCTGGCTGGGGTCGACGCCGCTGTCCCGCAGGAACTGGCTGTAGGCCACGGCGAAGGCCTGGCCGATGGCCTGGGCGATGAGCTGGGCCTGCGCGGGAGCAGCGTGTCCCTGGGGTGTCCCCCCAAAGTCCCCCGACATCCTGGGGCCCAGCCCTCTGTGCCCGCCTGGGACGAGGTTCCTGGGCTCTCAGGGAAGTGGGGGCAGGCCGCGATCTCGCAGAACCCCCGGGAGGAGGGGAGGGGACGGGAGACAGTCCCTGGTCATGGGACGATTTGCGGAGACAGCTGCCGCGGCACGGGCTGCAGGAAAAGCTCCGGGGGAGGCCCAGCCGGCGGCCCTGGGGTGGGTCGGGCGATGGGGACAGCCCAGGAGCGGGGGTTACGGGAGTCGGCTCCAGGCTCGAGGCCGACGGGACGGTTTGCAGGCGTGGCCGGGGGCTGAGGGGCAGCTGCCGGCTGGGGTGACGGTGGCGTCCTGGGGCTTGGGGGAGGCGCCGCTGCTCACATCTTCCGAGTGGAACACGTGGCAGAGCATCTTGTAGAGGCGGCGGCCACGGTCCTGGGGTCCGGGCCTCCGGGCCAGCCGGCGCCGCGCCATGAGCACGAGCACGCGGCCGATGTCTGCGATGTAGGAGATGGTGTGCAGCGCGTGGTCCATCATGGCCTCCTGCGCGGCAGACGCGGCCGGTGGGTGCGCTGCCCACCCTGAGCCCCCGTTGCCCCGGCCAGGTCCCCGGCTGTACCTGGGAGTCCGCAGTCAACACCTTGATCCTCTTGGTGGAGACAAAGAGGTCCACGTCCGTCATGGGCTGGGTCTCCCCGTCCGGGGCCTGCAGGGGCAGCGTGGGAGGTGGAGGCCCCCAACCAAAGATGCGGCCTCAGTCTGCAGCCCCCGCCCGCCCCAGCCCCCGCCCCGGCCCGGCCGCCTCACCTTGACGCGGTCCATCGCCTCCCGGGCCTGGGCCATGCGCGCGCTGGGCGGCGGGTTGCGCTCCGACACCAGCTGCGTGGAGCCCAAGTACTTGGCCCCAAATAGGACACCGTCTAGGAGGTCTTCGTGGTCACAGGGACCAGGGACTGCAGGCAACGGCAGGGAGAGGCTCAGCCCTCGGGAACCCGCCCCCTGGGGGCTCCGGGCTCCCCGAGATGGTCTGAGGAGAGTTCAACCGAGTCGCTCAGCACACTCTAGAGCAGGGGTCCTCAAACTGTTTAAACAGGGGCCAGTTCACTGTCCCTCAGACCGTTGGAGAGCGCGGCGCACACTCCACACATGCCCACTGTGGACCCGGGACCAGTCGGCTGCTAAGCAGGACAGGCAGCGGCGGCAAAAACACCCGGAGGGCCGGATAAATGTCCTCAGCAGGCCGCATGTGGCCCTCGGGCCGTAGTTTGAGGACACCTGCTCTAGAGCCACAAAGCTCAGCCCAAGGTTCCACAACCACCCAAGCGGCTCGGCCCTCACAGGTCCAGAGCCTCCTACCCGTCCCTCAAGGCCGTGCAGTCAGCACTCGGAGCCCCCTGAGCTCAGAACCAAGGCTGCACCCAAACCTGCTCTAGCACCCAGAGACCAGCACCACGTGTTTCTAGAATCTCAAGGTCAGGCCAGAACCAGATAGTCCCATTCCAATTTCTAAAGCCCAAGACACTAGAACTACAGTCAATCCCATCAATCAATCTAGAACCAGCCAACTCTGCCTGCTGTTCTAGCATTCTCTCCAGAAAGCCTAGGGACTACAGGCAGCTCTATCCTCGGCTACAGAACAGCCTGATCAGAGTAGAAAGAAATGACTGTCTCCATGTTCAAAGCCCCCCGCACTGTCCAGAAGCACAGATGGCTCTGACCCGATTCCAGAGCTCCCTGACAGGTCTTTGTCAGGGGCTCTAGACACTTCTATCACTCCAGAATCAGATTTCTTCACTCCGTGATTCTAGAACTTCTTAAGCATGCCAGTGTCCGGTATCCTATGGTTCTAGAAGCACAAGCAGTTGACAACTCAGCCATGCCCGCATTCTAAGAATTATCTGAGAAGTCTATAAATAACTCTGGTCTAGGACAGGCAGAGTTGAGTACCTCCAACCCAGCCGAGAACTACGTAAAGCTTTGCTCCCATGGCTCTGGGATTCCCTGAGCCACCTAGAACCAGAGAGCTCTGCCAGTTGGTTAGGACTTTTAAAAAATATAGATAACTAGAAAATGTTAAATCACACATGGCTCATATCATATTTCCATTGTAGTTCTCTCTAGAACTTTCTGAGTACACTAGAATTAGACAGCTCTGCCCAGGGTCTAGAACAGCAGATAAATTCTATTTGCTCCACGGTTCTAGAATTCTCCAGTCTAAATACAACCAGACAGCCCTGTCTAGGGTTCTAGAACATCCCGTGATCTAGAACAGCAGATCAATTCTACCTGCTCCATGGTTCTAGAATTCTCCAATCTGAATAGAACCAGACAGCTCTGTCCATCAATTCAGAACATTTCCACCAGCTCAGGTGCCAATAATCTGGAACCACAGGCAAAATGCCAAGCTCTGGAATATCCTGGGTTGAGTCACAGCTCTGCCTATGTATGACTCTAGAACCTTTTTAGAGCTACAGGTCCACACCAGCTCTTCCCCCTGCAATCATATAACTTACTCTTTGACCTATAGTAATTTTGGGGGAATTCTAGAACATTCCAGAGGGCCAGAACTGGCTCTTCCCCTGCCTTCGAGGCAGGGATTGGCAAACATTTTCTGTAAAGGGCCACACAGTAAATGTTCTCAGCTTTGGGGACACAAAGTCCCTGAGACAACTACTCAACTCTGCTGCTATAACAGGAAGGCAGCCATAGACAATGCAAAAATGAACAGGTGTGACTGTTTCAATAAAACTTTATTTACAAACACTAAAATTTGAACTAGATAACGTTTTCACGTTAACAAGATATGCTATTCTTCTTTTGATTTTGTTTTCCAATCATTAAAAAATGCAAAAGCCATCCTTAGCTCAGGAGACCCATGAGCACAGGCAGCAGGCTGGGTGTGGCCTACAGAAGGTGACTTGCCAACCCCTCCTCTAGATCTGAGCGCCACAAACGGTCAAGGCGACCCTACCGCCCCCTCCTCACACTACAACATTCTCAGAACTGTCTCTCCTCTTCCTGGCCACCTGGAATCTGTTCAAGCCCCCCACAGAGCCTCCCTAGAGCCTGATCCTTCCTGGCAAACATCCCCCAGATTTGGGGAGCCCAATTCTGGCTGTTTTGGAATCCCTAAGTCCCTGGGGCCAGAGTGGAACACTCACCCTCCTGGAGGGCAGGGTATGAAGCCAGGGTCTTGGGGCTCTGGAAGAAGACAGAGGAGGGGCAGGACTGAGTCCTCCTACTTGGTTCCAGGCAGTCGAGGACACCTGGAGGGCGGGACAGGCACTACCTGGGCACCGGCGGCGGTGGCAGAGGGCTCTTCAGGTGCAACCAGAGGCACCGTCTCCAGCCAGGGCTCCGGGGAGCTGCTTGAGCTACTGCTGTCCCTCCGCTCGGCAGAGGCTCCCTCCGCCCATTCCGGGGCGCTGAGATCCCCATCTGGGTCCTCAGGGGGCTGCAATAGGCGAGGGGCAGGCTCTGGAGGTCCCTTGGGACCAGGCTGGGAAGGTGGGCATTCCTCACAGTGCAAAAGGCTCAGTAGGTCATCCCGGCCAACCTCGGAAGACAAGAGCCCATGGGCGTCGGCGACGTCCTGGGGGGCCAGGCCGTGGCCGGTGGCAATGTGCAGGGGACAGGGGGATCCCTCTGGGGATGGGCCCATCAGATCGCCTGGCATAGCTTCAAACTGTTGCACCAGGTCCTGAATACTGGACCCATCAAGTTCCATCTGACTCAGGCTGCTGGGGCCTCCTGGCACTGGATCCCATGGGCTGTCAGGGGTGAGGTCCTCAGCGGGCACAAGAGTGTCCCTGGGCTCCTCCAAGTCCATGGCTGGAGGCCCTGAAGGGGACCGGGGCGTCGTCAGGAATTCCATGGCTGGACCCCGGGGCTCAGGCTAGCATCTTCGCCTGTGGCTGAAAGACAGAAATCCGAAGTTGAGGCTTCCTGGGTGCCGACCTGGTGCCAGGCTCTAGCTGGCCACTGTTGCTACAGAACACATAATTTAATCCCTGCTGTGCCCTGCAAGGAAGTTAGGATCCCCACTTTGCAGATGAGGAAACTGAGGAACTTGTCACCCTCAGACCTCTCCTCTCCCAACTCGTGGACTCTGTTCCCTCCAGCCCTGGTTATTCCAAGTCCTCCTCTCCTGCGACGTGGAACCCAGGCTGCAGACACAGACCTGCTCACACCCTGACCCTACAGACCTGTCAGAGGCAGGTCCCCGAGCCCGCGGAGTCAAGACCCCAGACCCGTGACCCCCAAGCCTAATAACTCAGGACCCCAACCCCAAGACTTGAGACCGAGGACCCCAGACTTAAAACCAGAGGTCTAAGACGCCACGAAGCAGACCCCAGTCTCCAAACCCTCAAGGTCTCGCCAAGATCGACGCAGACTCAGACCCCCGACTTCAGACTCAGCCTGAACTCCGACCCCATCCCGCAAGCGGACCCCCGACCTCAGGCACCAGCCCCAGACCCCGCCCTGCCCGACCGGGGCACTTACGTCCCACATCGCGGCCGCCTCAGCCCCGCGCGGCCCCCAGGACCCCGCGCCCCCGGGACAGCCCCGGCATAGCACGGCCGCGCTCCCTGCAGCCGCCGCTCGCGGATTCCTTGCCCGAGCGCCGGCTCAACTATCCGCGCAGTGCCCTGGCCCACCGGGCATGCGCCGCCTCGCGAGGCCTGCTGGGAAATGTAGTTCTTATGGCCTAGCTCCGCCATGCGGTGTAGCCTACTTAAGGGTTCGAATCCCGGTCCTCCCTGCACGCAGCGTGTGAGCCCGGGCTGGCCCCTGGGCCTGTTTCCTCTACTGCGAAATAGGGTTAATAATCACTGTCTGTCTCCTATGGCTGTGGTCATGATTCTAAGAGATGGCGGATGGGAAGAAGGGGGCTGGAAATATTAAACAGGGAGAAGAGGTCTCTGCTGGACTTTAGGGCACCGGAAGCAACGTGGGGACCCTGTTGAAGACAGACTTCCGGTTTGGCTTACTGTGAGGAAGACAACGGCGCGTCCGGTGGATTTGGGATCCACCCGGAATCTTTACCTCCCTGAACTTCCGTTCCCTCACTTGTTACCTGGGGATAAGATAGTCCCTTCCCCCCAGTCGTAAGGACTAATGGATCAGACAGGTTAAAGATTTAGCAACAGGGCTGGACATATTAGGAGTCTAATAATTGTGAGTTTTTCTTTTAGGCTTTCAAGAATTGCTCATTGGATAGAATCAGGAACACAAAAAGTGTGATAATTTAAGTAAGCGTTATGTAACTCAAGAAGGGCAAGAAGGCAATGAAATAGCCTTTGAACGCCCTCGTACAGTAACTGATATGTCTACAAAAGTCTAAAGAAACGGTAAATAGATGCCCACTGAGGAAACTACATTTCCCAGAAACCTTTGGGGCCTACAACTCCCAAGCATGCCCTGGGCCGCTGACGTATCCCGGAAACGTGCACGCGCAAGCAGCCGGGACTACGTCATGGCGGCGAGGCGCCTCTTCGGGGCTACCCGGACATGGGCCAGTTGCGGGGCCCGGGCGCTTCTAGATCCCGCCAGTCCTGGGAGACTCTTGATCCGGGATTATGCCAAGAAACCGGGTGAGCTGGGTTAAGAGGAACCAAGATGGGGACGGTGGGTACACTGGGGCGTTGGTAGTGCGCAGGCGCTGTTTGGGGAGGTGCGGTCTAGAACTCATGCGCAAGCGTAGAGCTGCTCTACGCGCAGGCGCAGTGTGAGGGTTATCGTAGTTATCGTAGCGATTGGATCCAATGCGCAGGCGCCACGCGGTCAATGACGAAATTGTGCGTTCCGTAGAGCAAATGCGTTTCACTGGTAGGGATGGGAGGGTGGGGAGGGGGCAGGTCATCAACTTGGATTCCAAAGCAGTTTCTGCTTCCAAATCATGGTGCGACTTTGGACAAGTCATGTCAAGAAATCCAAAGTTATAGGGGCCCAGCTAAGACTTAGCCACTCAAGCAAGACCCAAACAAGGCGACTAAAGTTTTGCTGGATACAACCCTGCCTGATCTCCTTTGTCGGAAGGAGAAAATTGGCAACTGTTAGGCCTTAAAGACGGCCCATCGGAGACTTTATCCATAAGATAAACACATGCAAGCAAAATATAATCTAAAAGGGGTTCTCCTTATAATAGTGGCTAGTCAAAAAAAATAAAGTAAAAACAAGACGTGATCACTTTGAGCATCGGTGTTATCTAAAGCTGCGTCCGAGAGTCCGGCCAGAGTCCGGGGCGGGCGGGGCGGGCGGGGCGGGCAGGGTGGCCTTCCCAGGGTGGAGCTGGGCTGAAACGACTCTCTCCCGCTCCCCCCAGTCGTGAAGGGGGGCAAAGGGGGCAAAGGCGGCGTGCCCAGCGAGGCCCTGAAGGACCCCGACGTGTGCACAGACCCCGTGCGGCTGACCACGTATGCCATGGGCGTCAACATCTACAAGGAGGGCCAGGACGTGGCCCTGAAGCCAGACGCTGAGTACCCCGAGTGGTGAGTGGGCCAGGCCGCGTCGTCCTGGACCAAGCGTTGTCCCCTCCTCCGCCCACGCGGAGGCCGAGGACACCGAGGCAGGGCAGATCACCACTCCAGAGGGTGACATCCACCTGGTCCTGGCTTCAGGGCACGAGGTGTCACCACTCTGCCTCAGTCGTCCCATGCGACAGTGAGGGAGATGGGACCTTCCCTCCTTCAGAGGGTTGTGGGCAATTCATGAGATCAGAATGCATTGAAGTGCCTAAAAAGATGCCTTTTTTCCCCTTTTACAAACATTTATTGAGTGCTGACTGTATGCCAGGGCCTGTCTAGGCTTTGGGGATACAGAAGGGCACAAAACAGGCAAAGATCCCCGCCCTCCTGGAGCTAGCTGGGGAGACAGTGAACGGATAATCAGGCAGATAGGGTGGTGACAATCCCAGGAAGAGGGGCAGGAGAGTGGGTGGCAGGGTGGGGCGGCTTGGCTGGTCAAGTCTGAAGTTTCACTTAGGGGGTCGGGCGGCTTCCCTGGGGAGGAGATGCAGTGGCTGGAAGGGGCTTCAAAGAGAGGGCACAGCCAGTGCAAAGGCCCTGGGGCGGCTGTGCCTGGTGTGTGGGAGGCACAGTGAGGAGGCCCGTGTGGCTGCAGCAGATGGAGGCGGGGGGGGGAGGGAGGAGGCGAGGGCAGGGAGGGGACGGGGCAGGTTGTGCAGGGCCTGGCGGGCTGCTGGGAGGATTTTGCCGCCCCTCCCTGGGCCCCAAGAGCAAGACATGGGAACTCGGAGCTCGGGAAGGCTGAGGAGTGGGCGGGCACCGTGTGAACAGGGGCTGGGAGGCAGGACAAGGCCTGGCGCGTGCCCGCCTCAGAGAAGACACCAGAGCCACCACGGCCGTGGCTCCTCGTTCCAGAGCTGGGACCCGGGGACCGGGAGGGATGGCCCTGAGACCACTCGGCCTCTGAGCGGGACTCGGCCCAGCCCTGCTGCCACGGGGAGCCCTGGGGGGTCGCATGCCACCCTGATTCCTGCCCGCACTCGACAGGCTGTTCGAGATGAACCTGGGTCCCCCCAAGAAGCTGGAGGAGCTGGACCCCGAGACGCGCGAGTACTGGCGGCTGCTGCGGAAGCAAAACATCTGGCGCCACAACCGGCTGAGCAAGAACAGGAGGTTGTAGCGGACGGGACCGGGGCGGGCCGAGGGAGGCCCAGCGGGGCGCGGCAGACCCCAGCCTGGCCACCGAGGGCCTCCTGGTTTCCTGGTGAAAACGGACGTGAGGTTTCTGCGGGGTGTCCCCAGCCAGGCGGGACCAGGGCCGCGGAGGCCAACAAAGACCTGTGTGGTGACCCTGGGCGCCCCTGGGTCTGACGTCGGGCCTGGGGCAGGTGGGCCCTGCTGCCTGCGTCCTGGGCTTCCTGACCCTGCCCGGCCGACTCCACGCCGCGAGGGCAGGCGGTCCCAGCCCAGCCTCTCGGTGCCGCGGCCGCCGGATCGGGAAAGCGTCTTCGTGGGCGCCGAGAACCCAGGTGACATTCAGTGTCGCCCAGACGGGGAGGCTAATGCTGTCCTGCCTGGGAAGCTCATCCTCTTAGAGGGACACCGTGGCGAGGATTACCGCGCACCTGCCCTCCCCGCCGTCCCCCAAGGGCCATGCTACCCCGCGGCCACCCTCCCACGGCTCCCCGCCCTCAGGGCAAAAACCAGTGGTAAAGGCCACTGCACCTCCGCCTGTCCCCTCCCTCCTCCCTCTCTCCCCTCCCTCTGCTCCAGCCACACGGGCCTCCTTGCTGTGCCTCCCACATGCCAGGCGCCGTCCTGCCCCAGGGCCTTTGCACAGGTCGTGCCTCTGCCTGGAACATTCCTCCCTCACCGCCTCCAGGTCTCTGCTCTGATGCCACCTTCTCGAGGACTCCCTCTGTCCACCCTAATAAAACTGCCAGGTCCTGCCACACTCCCCGTCTGCCCCTCCTGGTTCTTCCACTGCTACGTTCCCAGGGCCTGGTGTGGGGGATGCGGGTGATGGGGCCGGCCTGGCTGGCACAGTGTGCACGGGACGGGGGGCCCCCAGGCTCGTGTGTGACGTGCCGCCCAGGCACAGGGTTGGGCACCCGGGCGTCGCCCGGCCCGGCCGCCCTGTCCCCGCACGCGGGTCCTGTGCCCGCAGCAGCCCCCGCGACTTACGCGCGCTGGGTTGACGGAGCCGACAACGCTGGCCCGGCCCGCGCGGGCTGGAGCGGTGAGGGCCCTGTGGGTAAGGAGGGCGGGCGGCACGTGCCCTGTGGCAGCCTCGCCGCCTGAGCACCGCCCGCTGCCGGCTGTGCAGCCTCGGAAAACTGGATCCCGTCTCTGGGCCCCGAGTTGTGCCCTGCAGAGCGGGCTGCCACGGCCACCTGGGGGTGGCATGCAGGGAGAGGGGCTACTGCTGTCACTTGTCACGTCCTGGGGAGAGGGAGGCGCTGGGGGCGGCAGCGGGACCTGCACTGACCGCCGCGCAGAACCAGCTTCGGGCCGGCCTCACCGCGGGCCGCCCGTGACCTCCACCCGGACCGAGGCCTGGCTGTCACCAGGGCGCGGAGCAGGCCCTCGGCCGGGCGCGGTAGTCAGCGGGCGGCGCGAGGCTCAGGTGGGCGGCCAGGCCCTGTCCAGAGCCTGCGCGTGCTCCTTGGCCAGCAGCCGCAGGGACGCCTCCTCCAGCGCGAAGCCGTCCGGGAAGGGGGTGCCGAAGGCGTGGGCCCCAAAGGGCGCCTGCAGCCCGGGGCCGGGCCCCAGCAGGCGGGGCAGGCCTGGCACGGCCGGGGGCGCGGGGCCCAGCCAGGGCTCCAGGGGCAGCGGCACGGCCGGGGGCCGAGCGAAGGGCAGCGCCGGGGCCTCGGGGAGCCTCGGGGCTGCCACGGTCCCGGAGCCTGACTCCAGACGCTCCTGGCGGCGCCACTTGGCCCGGCGGTTCTGGAACCACACCTGAGAGGGGCCGGAGGGTGCTGTGAACTCGGCGTGGAGCCGCCACTGGGCCTCCCAGTCTCGGGGGTCCCGCCTCCGTCTGAGCCAACCCATCATGCGCCCCTGCCCCCATCTCCCTCGGCAGTCAGCCTGAGGCCCGAGCTGCTGAGCTCGGCATTCAAGGCCTTCACAGGCTGCTACCCACTCCGTTCTCTGCCTCCTGTCCCCACCTCACACCCGCTCACAGGAAACGCCCCCCAGCTGGCAAACTTGTACGCCGGCGTCAAAGCCTCAGCTCCCACACCCCCCACTCCGGGAAGCCTTCCCGGTTTCTCTTCTGCTCACCCACCGGAGGGTCCACCTCTGACCCCACCTGCCTCCCAGGTGAGCCCTCACCTGCACGCGCACCTCGGGCAGGTGCACCTTGGCCGCCAGCTCCTCGCGGCTGTACACGTCGGGGTAGTGCGAGGCCTCGAAGGCCCGCTCCAGCTGGTGCAGCTGGTAGGTGGTGAAGGTGGTGCGGTTCCGCCGGTGCTGCTTCTTGGGGGCGTCCTCGCCGGGCGCCAGCGCCCCGCCCTCCGCCGCCGGCCCCTCTCCCGGGCTCAGGAACATGGCAGCTGCCCTGGCGGGGCCGGCCTCACCCGCGCCCGCTTTGCCCCTGTGCTGCCCGTCCGCCCGTCTGTCTCTGCAGGGTGTCAAGGACTCCGGCCCAGGACGCCCCACAGGTGCCCCCGCCCCACACTGGCGGCTCTGCCCGCCCAGCCCCTCGGCGGCCGGCCGCGCCGGGTCGGGCAGGGCAGGGCAGGATTAGCTCGGGCGATTACCCGGGGCCCCTCCCGCTCGGGGCTGGGTGTCCTGAGCTGCCCAGGGAGGAAGGGCTCCAGGCCCGGCTCCGCCACCCCCGGCAGTGGGATACCAGGGCCTCCCTCTCTCTGGGCCTCAGTTTCCCTGGCTGTCAAATGGTGACAGGGCCTCCTCCAGGGGGATCTCACGGGTTCTCAGTGACAAAATCCCACAGCGTCGCGCACAGCGAGCACTTCACCAGTGTCCACTGCGACCAGCCGGGGCCAAAAACAGTCCTTAAGACTCGACTCTCATAAGCTTAGACATGGAATCTTTAAAGAAAAAAAAAAAAGACTCGACTCTCGGGGGTCAGAGGGGTTGGGTAGGTGAGGTCCCCAGAGGTGAGGGCAACTCCAAGTGGCTCCTCTGGACACCGACCAGGGCAAGGGGTAAGGGGCATTTTAGCTGGGTCTTGAGGTATGAGTAGAAGTTCGCTATTCATTCACTAGTCATACAATAAACATTCATTGAGCACTTACTGTGTGCCAGGTATTGCCGACAGCAGAGGGAAGAAAACAGTCACGGGGCTGACTTCCAACTACATGAAAACGCTTCAGGCGGTCCCGTGAGAGACCCAGCAGGGCAGGGAAGGGGCTCGTGGGGCGCAAGGTGCTGCTTTAAGGAAGGCGGTTAGGACGGCAGGTGGGGCCAGGGCTGCAGATTCTGGACACGACTGGGTAGGAAGGAGAGGGCACTGGGGAGCCATGGGAGGGTGTGGAGGGAGGGCACAGTCGGTGGGTCAGATGACAGAGGAGGGTGGGAGGCACCCAGGCCCATTGCCGGGACAGGGGAACGGTGGGGTTGCTTCCGGGGCGGTGGCCAGAGAGGCCCGGCAGGTTCCGGGGAGAACCCTGAGACTGGCATCCCCCCACCTCCATCCAAGGAGCCTGGGCGGGCTCAGGCAGGAGGGTTCCCCGAAGTCAAGAGGAGATGGCACTACGGCGGCTGGTGGGGGGCACTGGGAGGGGGTTGAGGCCAGGAGGGAGGGGATACCAGCAGAGCGAGGGGGACCCGGCCAGAGGGGGATGGAGGACCGAGTGCAAAGGGGGCAACCGGGTCCCAGGGGAGGCCGGGTCCGACCGCAGGGTGTGGCAGCTGGGCCCGGGAGCCATGGAGGGCTCCCCGGCCCCGCAGGGAGGGCTGAGGTCGGGGGGCAGGGGGCTCAGGGCCAAGCCGGGTGAGGGGGGGTGGCTGGAGCTCCCTGAGGCTCCTGGGTCCCTGTGTCCTCCGCCGGGTGGGCAGGGTGGCCGGCCGGGGGCTCGGCGGGTGGGGGAGGTGACCTCCCTAAGGGCTCTGCCACTGTGAAGCACTATCTTGCTGCCTCTGGTCTCGGCCCCAGCTAGCCGACTGGCCCGCGGGGTACAGAGGCCACAGGGGCGCGGGCGCGGCGCTGGGCGACTTAGCAGACCGGCCGCAGCTCCAGACGCTGTGTCAGCTTAGACGCTGGATTAGAGGTGCAGGGGCAGGGCCAAGGGGGCAGGGGGCCCCGACCGGAGGATCAGAGGGGCTCGGCCACTCTGGGCCCTTCCAGTCTCCACCCTTCGATTTCCCCCTAGAACCACTAGACCCCTTCAGGTGCTGGCGGGGAAACGGAGGCCAGAGGGAAGGCGGGGCTTTAGGTCAGGAGGTCAGCGTGACCTTGGTTGGAAGTTTCTGTCTGGCTGTGCTTGGGCAGGGGCGGGGTCAGCTGAGTGGGGGTGGGTGGGGTCTGTCTGGAGTCCCCTCCCAGCTCGGGGGACTGGTGGGCCGCATCCAGCCCGGTCAGAGCCCCCGCTCTGTCTGGATGGGAAGATCAACTGGGAGCAGGTGCTGGACTGTCGCAGCAATGTCCGAGCACCAGCTGTATGCCCTTCACTGGAGTGAGCCCCGAGGGTCCCCGCCCCTTGCGCAGAGGTGCCCCTCCCATGGGGGAGGCCTGGCCGCACTAGTCCCACAGCCTGGGAAAGCCCCCAGTCCCCGCAAACCGCGATGGCTGGTGGCCTCGGGGCCAGAGCCAGGCAGCTGGGGCCAGTTAGGCGGGCCTGGGCGTGCAGGCCCAGAGCCAGAGGGGCAGGAGTGGGGCCTGGGGCCGGGCCACCCCGGCTGTGTCCTCAGCGACTCTGTCCCCCGGGCCAGAGGGGGACGGAGGACCGAGTGCAAATGGGGCAACCGGGTCCCAGGGGAGGCCGGGTCTGACCGCAGGGTGCGGCAGCTCGGCCAGGGAGCCATCGTGGGCTCCCACGGTCCCCGAGGTCGGGATTCACTGGGTCCCTGACTTTGGGCCTCCTTCATCCAAGGGCAGGGGCACCTGTGAGCTGTCACCGCAGAGACCGGGGATGCCTAGTGCCCGGGAGGGGCTGGCACTCAGTAGGTGCTCATTAAGTGTTTCCTGCATGAAAGGAGGGGCGGCTATGGTGCCCCCCTTCTCTTGCGATGTGTCCCCTCGCCCCACGACCCGGCTGCGTGTCCTCAGTGGCAGCAGAGGTGGCCCCAGCTGGGGGGCAGGAGCTACGCATGCCCCCGTCCCGGCTCCACCTCCTCCTCCCTGGCACCCAGCGCCAGCGACCTGCCTCAGCGTCGCTGGGACATGACCCGAAAGCGCTGGGCACAGAGGCCAGTCCCTGAACAGGGGACAGCTGGAGTCTGACGGTGGCCTCTCCAGCACCCCCCAAAACGGGGCTACCACTTTGCGGTAAGACCCTGGCAGGGCCCCCATAATGCCCTCTCTGCGGCAGGGCTGGGCTGCGAAGGGGGGTGGTGGGACGGGGACTTGGACCTGGAGGCCGTGGGACGCCCTGGTTTGGGCCCCAACGCTGCACGCCACGCCCCATGGGCGACGGCAAGTCGCCCCTGCCCAGAAGCTCCCCAGGGACCTGTCCCCACCCCAGCCGGGAGGAGCCTCCCCGGGCAGTGGTGGGAGGCCCCGCGCGGACCCCGACTGGGGGAGGGCGGGGCTTGGGCTGGTGGGTCCCCGAGACTCAGCCAACCATCAGTGAGGCCCCAGTGAACGGGTCACCGCCCGGTGGGGGCCGTGGGCTCCGCGGAGCAGGGAGGCGACCTGGGCGGAGGGTCCCCAGGGGCCCCTGGGTGCGGGCCTCCGCGGGGTGGGTCATGACGGGGGGGGGGTGCCAGAGAGCAGGCCCCCACAGGAGCCCCCGGGTGAGGGGCACGGGTCGCAGACAGACACACACA